TATTCTGCTGTCTCCCGGTATTGCAGTGTCCACTATCCAGACTTTTTTGTCTTTCTTATCAACAACTGTTAAGTCCAGGGTGTTGTGTGGCAGGGGCTTGCCTGTTTGAATTCTAAAGTCCCAGAGCACTTTAGCTCCTTCATTTTCTATTACTTTGTCTGTTTTGTGCTTGCAGGCAAGTGGTATTTCTAGCAGATCTTCCAATGGACCATTGTGGCTACTTTGTCATGCCGTTGTTTGTAGCCGGTCTGTGGGATCTTCTTGCAGCAGCTGACTAGGTGGTCCACTGTTTCTTCAGCTTCTTTGCAGAGACGGCATTTGCTGTCTGTTGCTGTCTTCTCAATTTTGGCTTTATATGCATTGTTCTTAAGGCTTCTTGTGTTTATTATTATTATTACCATCAAACAACACCTGCCTATCCCAGGTCTTTGGGAAGGATTCAGTAGGTGAATAAAAATGCCAAATCCAATCTAAACGTCTGGCTGACTATGCAACCAACCATCGTCATCATCGTTGTCATCATCATTGCTAAATAAGGGTGGAAAGGAAGAGGGGACATTTCAGGGCCTCAAACTCTCAGTCTCAGTAGTGACTACAGGAATCCTTCCTTGCAAGGGTCTTCATATTTACTTCCAAGAAGGGGAGGGGGAGGGAGGATGTGTTAGTCTTGTCAATAAAAGGTGACAATGTTTCAGCTCCAGAGCAATTTGGAGACACCATCCTGTTCACGACTGATGAGGACATTCTGGAGGCCATTTACTGTTATGATGAGTCCTGTGAGGGGGAAATCGAAAGCAGGTGCAACCTGAGGTATGAGGAAGAGCTAAAGAGGCCAAGAACTGCTGATGGAGAAGGGGATGAGAGACCTTTCACTCAAGCTGGTTCCAGGACAGAAGACAAGCAGGTTAGAGTGCCAGCTGTGAAAATGGGTTTTCTCTGTCTCTCCATAGCCCTCTCCTCTATACAGAGCTGGGAATTAAAATAAGGGCAAATCTGCAGCTGCTTTAAGAGGGCTTTGAAAACATCCTTCTCTGGTGTTTAGTTGAAACACTTTTCTGGAATTGGCTGCTTGAGGTGTTTGTATTATTCAACCTGCTTAAATTTTAAAGGACTTTGATACTGATGAAAAAAAAATTGACCATACTTCAGTCTACCAGGAGAAGGGACAGGCAGTAAGAGTGATGGTGGGAGAATGTTACAACTATTTTATGGCATGCTGGGCTCTTAAAAAGGTGGACCAGGTAGGGCATCCTTTATGCACAGGTGCCTATTTTTAAGGCATTTTTATTTCTCAGAATGCTGTAGGAGAAAGTAGTTTATTTTTGTTCTGACTTGCCTCTTGATTGTCCAAACTTTTTTAGAGCCAGAAGCAAATTGCTGTGTCAGATTCCATCTCCGAGATCATGACAAGCAAAGAACGTGGAGTCTACTCTGGAAAATGTACGTCTCTCTTTTCCCATCTGCATTGTCTTCTGAAGGAGTGCGCACTGCTTGCAGTGGGCTTGTGTGGAAGAGATTTCAGGCAATGGGTTCTTCACTCAATGTGCAGTTGATTTCTAGGATGACTTTCCACAAGAAGCAATTGCCACTAGATTAGGGACCCTTTTAAGGAAAAATTCAATACTTTAATGGAAGGAGAGTCATTGATCAATAGTTATGATAGTTACTTATACAAGCTCAGAGCCACTATACTGAAGAGAGATCCAGACTATTTCTTTCCCCTTCTTCTTGTGAGCTTCCTCAAGTAGCCATCCAGCTGTTCTCACAGTGGCATTTTGCTTGGCTACAGGAAGGAATTCCTTGCATTTGCGAGAGAGCTTGGCTGCCTCTTCAAGCCTCAGCTAGAGAGCACCTCTTAGGGCAGGGTGATAAGTGAACTCCTTGAAGTCCAGGATCAAAGTGGAAAAAGAACACGCGCAGCGCCAGGGTAGAACAGCTGCCCTCATCTGCCACAGCTGTATTAGCTTACACAGTGTATTATCTCCAAAGTTTGTGTGTTGAAATCTCTCTCTTAATCCACATTTGTTGCTATTGAATAATTTCAGTATCACCTAAGGAGCAGATAACTATTTTCTTCATTTGCCTGTTGGTCACACTCTTAGTTTTGCATTTGGATTTGTATATGTGTACTTGTTTATTAGATTCTTCATCTACTCAGTAACTGAAGTTCACTGGATGATTGATTGATTGATTGATTATATTTATATGCCACCCATCTCACAGAAACATAACTCTGGGCAACGTACAATAAAACCATAAAAACAATAATTACAAAAATAGTCTAAAATTAAAACATGTTATTATTATAAAAACACTAAAAAGGATAGGAAGAGCATAGATGTTACACTCAATGTAGCCACCTCACTAAATCCCAATTTCCGCAATACCTCAAGCCTGTTGACCTAACCAGGTTTTAAGGGACTTCCGGAAGGACGTCAGAGGGGGCCAGTCTCACCTCAAGTGGGATGATGTTCCACAGGGCAGGCACCATGGCAGAACAGGCCCATCTCCTGGATCCTGCCAAACGTAGTTCCTCAGCAGACGGGACCCAGAGCAGGCCTTCTCTGCTGGACCTGATGGGACGGGCAGAAGTAATCGGAGAGGCGGTCCCTCAGGTAATCCGGTCCCATGCCCTGAAGGGCTTTAAAGGTCAAGACCAGCACCTTGAATTGGACCTGGAAGCAAACTGGCAGCCAATGCAGCTCACAAAGCAGAGGCTTAACATGTGCTGTTCTAGGGGCACATATAACTGCCTGTGCTGCTGCATTTTGCACCAACTGAAGCTTCTGGATACTCTTCAAGGACAGGCCTATGAGGAGTGTATTACAGTAGTCCACCCGGCAGGCGACCAGGGCATGCGTGACCATGAGCAGAGCCTCCCGATCCAGAAATAGGCACAACTGATGCACAACTTGAATCATGAAGCTACTTAAAATATGGAAAACGTCTAAGATGTTTTATGGTATTTATTGCAGTGGGGCAAAAAAGTATTTAGTCAGCCACCAATTGTGCAAGTTCTCCCACTTAAAAAGATGAGAGAGGCCTGTAATGTGAAGCATGGGGGGTGGAAACATCATGCTTTGGGGCTGTTTTTCTGCAAAGGGACCAGGACGACTGATCCGTGTAAAGGATTACAGGCCTCTCTCATCTTTTTAAGTGGGAGAGTGAAGCATGGGGGGTGGAAACATCATGCTTTGGGGCTGTTTTTCTGCAAAGGGACCAGGACGACTGATCCGTGTAAAGGATTACAGGCCTCTCTCATCTTTTTAAGTGGGAGAGTGAAGCATGGGGGGTGGAAACATCATGCTTTGGGGCTGTTTTTCTGCAAAGGGACCAGGACGACTGATCCGTGTAAAGGATTACAGGCCTCTCTCATCTTTTTAAGTGGGAGAGTGAAGCATGGGGGGTGGAAACATCATGCTTTGGGGCTGTTTTTCTGCAAAGGGACCAGGACGACTGATCCGTGTAAAGGATTACAGGCCTCTCTCATCTTTTTAAGTGGGAGAGTGAAGCATGGGGGGTGGAAACATCATGCTTTGGGGCTGTTTTTCTGCAAAGGGACCAGGACGACTGATCCGTGTAAAGGATTACAGGCCTCTCTCATCTTTTTAAGTGGGAGAGTGAAGCATGGGGGGTGGAAACATCATGCTTTGGGGCTGTTTTTCTGCAAAGGGACCAGGACGACTGATCCGTGTAAAGGATTACAGGCCTCTCTCATCTTTTTAAGTGGGAGATAAGTGGGAGAACTTGCACAATTGGTGGCTGACTAAATACTTTTTTGCCCCACTGTATGTGACTTTTATTTTGCTTCAATCCCTTTCAATTGTAGCTTAGCCCACAAAAATAGTAAAACAATTACAGGCAATAAATAAACAGCAGACAAAAAATATGAACATCTATATTTTGTTGCTGAGTGAAGTATCCTGTTGTCCATTCACGACTGAGCCAGGCCTGAGAATCCAGTCCTGCCTTGTAATGTGGGGGACAATGTGGAGGTCCTGTTGTTACGTGCCAAGAACTGCAGAGCCTCAAGTTACACGCCACCAGGGCCTGGGGTGACCTCAGCACCCTGGAATGCTCTTTCCCCTGAAATCTGTGACGCTTTTAGCACAATCTGTTAGAGACCCTCCTCTCCAGGCCTTCTCTGAATGAATGCTGGATTACTGAAAATGTTTATACTTTTCTATTTTGAATTTTTTTGCTAATTGTAAACTGTTCTGAGATTTTTAATAATAAAACATAGCATACAAATATATGCCTCTGGTAGCTCAGCCCTACTTTTCTGTGGCACTGGATTCCTCCTGATTATTATTAATTTATTATAGCTGCCCACTCCCATAGACTCTAGGTAGCTTACAAATACAAATACAAGACAGTAAAAATAGTTAAAAACATACAACCCCACAGGCAGCCATCTCTCTATAACTAGGACTCATGTCATTGGAGAGGAGGTGGCATAAGTGTCTAGTCCCTTTTCTTGCTACGGTTTGTCCTTGCAGTAAGTTTAATGTCTACTTGGAAGCTGATCCTGCTCTACCTCTCTCTCCTTTCAGGCCTGCTACTGAATTTCACAGCTTCTTGGGGAGATGTGCATTACCTTGGACTGACAGGGCTTGAAGTGGTTGGAAAGGATGGCCAAGCAATCCTGTTCTCTGTGGATCAGCTCTCTGCTTCTCCTCAGGATCTCAATGATCTTGTGGAGTATGTGGACGATTCAAGGACCTTAGATAAGTGAGTATCATTCAAGAGACTGAGAGCAAGAAGAGAGCTAAGGCCCCAAGCTCGTGCCTAAGGCAGATGTGGGCTCCCACTGACAGTATTTCAGGAAGATGCTGTTCTTTATGGGTCCCCAGGAAATCTCCAGCCCCCAGGAATCTTGATATTGGAAGCTAGTGGAATGCCAGCCAGAGGCTGCCTGACCGTGGCACAGGAAGGGTGGCACACCCACCTACAGGCAAGAAAAGCAGTCTAACTCCTAGGGTTTTGCAGTCAGCCAGAAATTAATCACAACGGAAGAGAGGCAGTTTGAAACACTATTAACTGCAGGTGTAGAATGCAAAAGGAAAAACAGGTGTGAGTGGGACTGGCCAAATAGGAAGCCATTTGGGGTCTGATTAGAAAGCCTTTGTTCATTTCAGAATGCTAATTTTTCATTGGCCTTCGCCAATCTTCAGGGACCCCCAAGTTGCGCCACCTCAGTGGCAGTCAGCGTTCTCTAGTATAGCTCGCTCCCAGAGATAGGGTTGGCCTATCTCTAGTTTATGTATTGAAAGTCCATTAAAACCTGTTCTGGAGGGTCTTGGAGGGAGGATTGGTGGGAGGGATGCATCATGGCAATGGGACATTGTTTTGTTTTTTAATTTATATTTGTCTTGTTTTTAATCTGATTATTATTGTACTGGGGAAGTCAAAGCAAGTGAAGTGGCATATAAGCCTCTGCAATAAATACATGACCAAATTCCCTCCCCAGCCAGTTTCTGTGCTTCCTCCTAGATTGATTGATGGAAAAAACGTCACCATGGAAGATAACCACATGTGGCTCATTCCCTTTTGCCCTGGGGAAGATCACCTGGTGACCATCCATTTCACACAAGTAGAAAATATTGTGGGGCTTCGTATCTGGAACTATAACAAATCTCCTGAGGACACCTACCGAGGGGTAAGCCACAGATGCGGAAATTTCAGGAAGTAAAAGACAGGAACCGGCTCCCCTGGCAGAAGGTTCTCTGGTCTTCTATGCTCTTCCTTCCTCTTCCATGAGAAATGTCCTTTTCTCAAGCTTTTGGTAGCATACTGGGAAATGGAGGTCAGATAGCAGATGAGGGAGCTTGCATTCAACAGCCTTGATATTGATAGCAGGTGGCTCCTGTTTCTCAGTGGGTGCCATTTCCCAGTTTTCTGTTTTTCCCCAGGCAAAGGTGGTCCACGTGTGGTTGGATGGCTGCTGCATCTCCCCTCCAGGGGGCTTCCTTGTTCGCAAAGGACCAGGCAACTGTCATTTTGACTTTGCTCAAGAAATCCTCTTCATTGACTACCTTGTGGGCCCCATAGTTGCTCCGGCACATGAGCGGTGAGAGTCTAGGGAATGAATTGATCCCATTGGATGATAACTGTCATTTCCTAATATATTTTGTGGGTAGTAATGATTGCATCTCACAGTGCTATGACGGTATGTATCCTCATTGGACAGGAGTGAAGTGAAGAAGATGGAGCAAGCCAGTATGGATTACGAAGCACCGTTAATGCCCTGTGGTTGTATCCTTCTCTGTGGATCCTGCTTTTAGCCTTTGTGGGTTGTGCTTCTGGGCCTGAATGAAGCTGGGAGCTTAGGGGCTTCCTGGTGGCCCTGGTACTGCTGCCCTATGGACCACATCATGCCCATTTCATTCCCAGCTTCCCTGGGTACCTGTGAGTGTCCAGCGGCTGCTCCTTCCCAGGATCCTCTCTGCAGACATCGTAGGCCTTGTTTTCCACAAGGCTTGCGTTTGTTTTTAGATTTTTTTGGTCATCTTCTGTGGATATCCAAGGAATAAAAGTTGGGGTGGAAGTATTTTAACAAAGTAGTATTTTCTCAATAACCTTCATCAGTCATCTTCCAGTTCCAGCTGCTCACAAGTTGGGGTGATCCATATTACATTGGTCTGAACGGGCTGGAACTGTATAACGAATGTGGGGAGAAGATTTTTTTAAATCAGAACAGTATCCTTTCTGCTGCATAGACAGAACCATTTCTGAGGGTATCTCCCTTCCCCTGTAGCTCACAGCCAAGCCAGAGAAAGCTGGCCAGACCAGGGCCTCCCACAGGCACAGGTAAGCATGGTCTTCCTGCCCGCTGCCAGCTGCTCCTGCTGTTTCACTTCTGCGGTGCAGCTGGATTTTTTCCTCCTCTGCCCCAAGGCTTCAGACAAAGGCTTCTCTTCAGGTTGAAGGAGAGCCAGGCAGGACCCAGAGGCAGACACAGAATTCTTCATACCTCCAGCCTTGTTTGCTTCTCCAGAAGCCTCAGAGGTTGTGGGAACCTCGCATCGTAATGGGGCTGGGAGACTGTTGAGGCCAGATGCTCTCCTTGATGGATGCCCTTTTTCAGACATTGCAGCTTTTCCAGACAGCGTCAACATACTGGAAGGAGTTTGTGGAGACATTCGAACACCAGACAAGCTTATTGATGGCGTGAATCATAGCAACGATGGAAGGCACATGTGGCTTGCACCAATTCTGCCAGGCCTGGTATGTTTCCCTCTTGCACTCTGCCATGTGCTTTGTGTATTGGCCCCAGCTGACACCCTCTTAGGCCATGCAAACAGCTGCCCCTCTGGTGGATGAGCCTCTGAACACCTTATGTGGGCGTTTCCTCTGTGTCTTGTAGAGGAAGCACCCGGGATTTGGAGAAATTACTTTATTGCTGTTCGCTGAATCCTTTTGTTTGGGGGGTCTTTAAGGGAGCCATTGCAGGCTCAAAGCCCAGAAGACACTCGGGCTTGAGCTCCCAGTTGCCAATGGAATTCACTGGGTGGCTTTGGGCCACTCGCTCTCTTTCAGCCCCACCTGCCTCCCAGGGCTGTTGTGACGATCACATGGAGGGTTAGTCTGTGTCCCCTGCCTTGAACTCCTTAGAGGAATGCAGGAAATGAAGAATAGGAAGCCCTGCACATTTCATGCAAAATTCATGAGGAATCCTTCCTCAAGGATTCTTTTCATCAGACTTTCACAGAAAATAAACATTATTACCAGGGAGGAGGAACAGCCTTGATCCACATCAAGTTTCACAATCCAGAGTGACTTTAATCTGTTAATTGGATTTTGTTTCAAACGTGTACAAAAATATTCTGGCTGGAGTCAAAATAGTCTTCACCAAGACTATTTCTCATGGTTAAGGAATTTCTTCTCTGCTTCATTTCTGGTGGCAGGTGAATCGAGTTTACATTATCTTTGACTTGCCAACTACCATTTCCATGATCAGGCTATGGAATTATGCAAAAACTCCCCAGCGAGGAGTCAAAGAATTTGGAGTAAGTGCCTGTTTAGAAACATCATCTTTAACCTCTAATTCATTTTAGAGGCATTTATTGTGTCATAACTAGGATTTTGTGAGTCGCTTCAGCCTACACTGGTCTCTTCTGACTGACAGCATCTCTGTAGGGTCCCTGGCATCACCTACCATCCAGAAGCTGGTTTCCCTGGACAGGCTGGTGTTTGAACTAGTAAACATTAGATGCTGCCCTCCTTAGCAAAATCCTCACCCAATAGTGATCTCTTCTCCTACACTGGAAATTGCCATTGCAGAGAGAGAGAAAGAAGGCTCATGAAGCAGCAGGGTTTAAAGTTGGGGCCAGAACGGCAGCTATGTGCCCATCTTTTTCTCTCTTTGGGGTACAAGCCAGCTGCCTCAGTCTGGGGACTCAGTGCACCTTCTGGTCTTTTGCAGAAGGTGCAAATTCATTTCTGTGTGATGATGAGACCCTCCAACTTTTCACCTACTCTTTTCTGGATCCAGCTCCTTGTTGATGATTTGCTGGTGTACAACGGCATTCTTGACATGGTGAGCCACCTGGTACCTGGCATTCTTCCTACTTGTGACCCTCTCGTTCCATACCACACCTTTCTCTTTACGGAGGATGAGAAGATCTGCCGGCAAGAGAGGAGCAGCATGATTCGGTGTGTGTGCATTTGTAACTCTCTCTAATGAACAGGCAGTGTTTCTCCTCTGATCATTTTCAGCTTGCTTTCAATCTCTGAGTCACAATAAAAACCAATAACTTAAAAATAACTCTACCTGATATACAAAGTTAGATGAAAGCAAACAATAAGTAATTATCTAGTTTGACAAGCTTGTTCTGATGTGAGCTTCTCTAAGAGCCTTTCCATGCTAAATAATCCTTTGGTACAAGAATGTTCCTGTGGGTCACAGAGTGCTGAACTCATCTGCTGTTTCAGCTCCACGTTCATCTAGCACAGTCAGTCTGAGGACCTGGCTGTAGAGGTGCAGATGCCCCTAGGGAGAGAAGCCATGTACGCAGCCCCCCATCAGATCAGAATAGTGGGAAGGGAGTGCAGAGCCATTGTTTGAGAGCAAAATAGGTGGGGAGAGGTATGGTTTGCAAATAGTTCCACTCCAAAAATGGCCTTTTCCTACACTGGAAATTGCCATTGCAGAGAGAGAGAAAGAAGGCTCATGAAGCAGCAGGGTTTAAAGTTGGGGCCAGAATGGCAGCTATGTGCCCATCTTTTTCTCTCTTTGGGGTACAAGCCAGCTGCCTCAGTTTGGAAGGAAGCCCACTGACCTTTTGGTCCTTTTGGCTCAACAGCAACCAGATAGAGGACCAGGATGTGCGGCTGACGAATGAGAGCCAGCTCATGTCCTCTTCCAGAAAGAAGCAAAAGGGAACTGCTGATCCAGGTTGGTTAGCAGGGATGGCGTAGAGTGCCAGGTCTCTTTCCTGCAGCGGCAGGCCCAGGAACACAGGTGGGTGGAGGTCTCTTTATATGGGCAGAGACATCACACACTTCTTCTCTTCTCTCCCCACCAGCTCTTCGTCCTAAAACCTGCATTCAGGATAAAGGACCATTGCGGAGAACGAGACCCTGAGGAAAGAAAAGCGTGGCTAGCATCCCACAGCCTTCTGCTTGAGCCATTTTGCGTTTGTTGTCCACGAAGAGGGGGCAGCCTGCTCCACTGGCATCCAGTCCTCAACCAGAATCATGGGGGGACCCTGGGTGGGAATGATGATGTTGGTGGTGCTGCTAAGATCATCAGAACTCATCTGCTTGTATCACCTGCAGGTTGATTACAGCTCTCTTTGCTTCTGCCTTCACATGAGAGGCTTTGGCTGAACTCTAGCAGGTTTGTGTTACAGAAAGAGGATGCGCAACACCTCGGGCTGGTTCAAAAGCTGGAGGAGGAGGGCATTGTTTCTTCACTTTCACAGGAAGCATTAGGACGCCTTTGCTGACTGGTGGGAGAGAGGGTGGGGGAGATGAGAATGCCTGACATGGGTGCAGTTAGGACACAGCTCCCCTTCCCCCTCGTGTGTCACTGACACAGGCCCATCCTGTATTTCTCCGCAATTGCTGTGGTTTCCAGTGGTGCAGAGGAAATATCTCAGCCACTGTGGAAATTAAAAGTGTAAAAGTGAAGGGGTGCCACCTTCCCCAGCCAGCCCAAAGGATCTCCTGCTGCAACACCAACTAAGGCTGAAAGTGGGCAAGGGCTAGAGTCACAGCCAAGTGCATCTAGGAGAAAGGGCAGCTGCGAATCCGTGTCCAGGTGCTCAACTGCCTAAGGCAGCCCCGTTTCTAACTTGGGGTGAGCAGAGAGGCTTGGTACCTTTCTTTGCAATTCTCATAGGCTTGCCTTCCATCTTTGGAGGCATCTCCAAAAACTGAGCTGAAAGGCAGAAAGTGCCAACTGCCTCCTTGAACAGCAAGCGCCTTATCAAAACGTGTCCAATTGCAGCGTATTGATTGCTGGCAAGTACCAGGTCCTTACAACTGTTGGTGCTACTCTGGTGTTTGTCACACAGTACACACAGACCCAACTTCGGTCTTTTTTGTCTCAATAGCCTCTTTTGGCTCTCTGACTTGTTCCCCCTTGGCTAGTGCAAAGGGTGCCCAGGGAGGCTGCCATTTGACTTTGGCAGGAAGATGCAAGCTCGGCAGTCCATTAGCTACAGAAGCTGTGAAGCTGCCCTTCTTGCTTGCTGGCATGCCACCATAACCCATTTCTGCCACCTGTGGCTTGAGCACAGGGCCCAAAAGCTGCTCCTACAAAGAAGCGGGATCCACACCTTGATCTCTTCATCTGAGTAAAAGGACGTTTCCCCAGCCCCATTCCTGCTCCCTTACTGTGGCAACTTTTGAAACTTGGCCTTGGCAAAGCCTCTGCTCAGCCTTCAAAGGCATTGCCTCCGATGCCCAGAGAGAGGTACGAGGGCAGGACTTTATACCCACCCCCAAAGTCTGGACCTATTTTGAAGGGCCACAGGTTCACCTTGCCCAGATACATCTTTCTTTAGCAGGGAACTTGGGTCTGCTTGTAACGGAGATGTCTTGCACACAATATGTGTTTTGGCTGGCCTTTTCTCATTATATTAGAAGCAATCCTGTGGTTACAGGTCAGGCTTAGAATGTTACAGATGATGGAGAAGTTAAACCTCAACTTTTGTTGACAGGCATTATCCCAGCATCATATGAGATTATTCTTGGGCTCCTAAATGCTGTTGAAGTGGAGTGGGAATGGGAAGCGGGATGGTCAGTGGGTTTTAATAACAGGACTTAACGTAATTTTAGTAGCCTAGCAAGGATTATTTTTTCCCACATTTTCAACAATAAGAACACTAAAACCTCTCAGCTGAAACAAAGAATCATGGTTGAGAAAAAAGTGGAAAGATCCAGTTTTGTGACAAGATTGATTGCTCAGTGCTAAGAATAAATTCCTGGCTTTGAAATACTGTTTACCCTGACTTTTCATGATTTCTACTGCACTTACCCAAAGTAAGCATCAGACTCTGGGTGGTTGATCTCAGGATCCAGGGTATGAAGAAACTGAAGTGGGTCTGCTCGTGTTCTGGATCTAGGGGCACATGGGGTGCCAAACCACACACAGCCTGGAAGCAGAACGGGGAAATACGTTTTTAGTAGCTTATCTCTAAAGGAAGGACTGAGGGCGCTTCCTGGAGGATCGCGGAGGACACAGACCGGGAAAGGACCGGCTCCCTCGCCGCCTCTCCACCCTTCCCGAAGAAAGGAACGCTCCTCCGCCCGAGCCACGGGAGCGAGGGGAAAGGGCCTCTGTGTACGCGAATTAGGTCGACCGCAACAGGCCGTCCCTCCAGCACGCTCTCCTCACCTGGAGCCCTGAGGGCCGCCGGCCCTCTTGCCAGCAAGGGAAATAGGCTCCCGTCGGAGTTCCGGAGGAGGGGAGCGGGGGCACCGCAGCTATTTTGGGGCTGCCTCGGGAAGGACGTCGCACCGCAATGCCTCAGCTGAAAAATCGGCCGCTCGCACGCTGGAAGGCCCACGCCGACGCTCTTGGCCTTTCAAAGGGTGCGGTCGGCACCTGGAAGGCTACGCTTGCTTTTCCACCCCGAAAGACTTAAAAAACCGGCGAGCGTTTTTACGCAGCTCAGAAACCAAGACATAAAACCACCTTTGCCTTAAATTTGGCATGTGATCCAGGCTACCTGCCGCGTCTTGGCTCCCCTTCGTGGAACGAGA